TAACTGATGATGACAATGTAAATTGTTGAAACGTCGTATACAATAAAACCCAGGAACAGTATACCATATAAACCTAGATAACAAGGTAAATTACTGAAACGTTGTGTAAAATAAAAACCGGGAGTAATATATCATATACACTGATGATTACAATGTAAATTTTTGAAACGGAGTGTGCAGTAAAGCACACACATAATATTCCAAATAAACTGATGATTAAAGTGTAAATTATTGAAACATTGTGTACAATTAAGCTCACGAGTTACCAGATCAACTGATAAACATATCAAACGTGTAAAATAAAACACACACAAAAAGTGATTATAGCACTGTAAATTGTTGAAACCATAAAATTTTGTTCAGTTATTTGATAATATGAATAGTTTTGATGACAGATATTTGATGACTTTATTTCCCGCTTTAGTAAAAAAAGTAGGACGTAAACTCCATTCATTTCATTTCCTTCTTTAGTGAATTCTATTAGGGTGAGGTCGAATAGTCTTTCATTTGTTACCAACTCCCCGGGATTTAATTTCTTAATATAGTCTGATAGTTTTCTGTGGGTTGGGGGACATGGTTCAACCAGTGGTAGTTGAGCCACTGAAATCTACGACAAATTCTAGTCCAAGTTTTCGATCTCACATTTTAGATAGTCAAATATTCGAATAGTTCCAGGTTTATGACCTCAACTTCGCTTAACTTTTCATATGCCTAAAGTTCAAGCTAACTCTCAGTTACATTTATCTATCTCGATGAGATATCTTCTTATCTGCAACAGGGGTTACGTTAGGGGACAGTAAGGTAATACGACCCTTTTGACAAGTGGTGAGGTTGTACGACTCCTCTCACAAGTGGTTAGGTTATACGACGCCTTTGACAAGCGGTGAGGTCAAACGACCCATATGACAAGCGATGAGATTAAACGACCCATTTGACAAGCGGTGAGATTATACGACCACTTTGGCAAGCAGTGAGGTTATACGATCCCTTTGACAAGTGGTGAGGTTATACGACCCATTTGACAAGCGATGAGGTCATACGACAACTTTGACAAGGGGTATGGTTATACGACATCTCTGACAAGCAGTGAGGTTATACGACTCTTTGGACAAGCGGCGAGGTTGTACGAATTCTTCTGTTAATTGAGTTCTGTGGAATTTTGACGAAATAGCATTAGAAGTTTACATAATGTAAGCCAAGCAATAAAAACACTATTTACAGTGGTTAATATATTTCAGAATTCCTCAAATATAATAAGGCGGTGCTTGATAAACATGGCTATTTCATTGGTTAAATTTTCAATGACCCTGAACTCAATGTCGTCAGATCAAGGATGGCAGATAGAGTCACCTACATAAAAAAACGAAACACTCAGCTGTGAATTTTAATCATCCAAATAAATTAATGTTTCTATGAATCATTAAGTTGAGTAGGGGACACAGAATTGTCAAAAGGGACAAAACAACAGGCATTTACTAATTCATTGATTTGAAAAACTGAGAGGGAGAGAGGGCGAATCCTGCTCCCGTAGTAACGCCGAATTAAAGTAATATGTACTTACCCACACAGCAACAAATAAAGACCAGAATATACGACACAATGAACATTACTCGTATAAACGGTACATTCATCGGATTGTGAAACACAAACGCTTGTGTCGGTTGCATTGTCAAGTTGTTTTCTATCGAAATATTGCCACTAAAAGACATGTTTATTTCATTCTGTTTATTCATTTGCAGTTGTATAACCTTTATATTGGGATATTCCGATATCGTTGTAAATAATAGTGTTTAAATCCAACATTTATTAAGTCTTTGCTACTCCTTCATAAACACTGAAGATTTATGAATAGACGTATGGCATGTCATGAATGGGGTTATTCCGATATTTTTGTTAAGAACATTGTCTAAATCCTTGTCTTGGTAGATTTGCAAGTTATATATCAAAAATAAACATCTGTGTAATCATCTGGGTAGAGACAACACCATTCTTCAACTTGCTCAGAAAAATAATAATATTTTCAGCAGACACAACACTTGGTTCATCCCTAAAATATTTGAAAAAATAACTTCCGAAGAGATATCATGAAAACTTTCACAAAAGACATAAAATCTCAGCTTGTTTCACTAATTTAAGCTTTGCTTTGCTGATCTCTGATAAATATTAAAATATTTTAGAAAAATAGAACTTTTAATATTTCGTTTGTTACACTCATTTGTTCTTGGTCTTTCGCACATTGATTTATGGCAAAATAGGTATACAAAACACTTGTAAACTGTTAATTCTTGACCGATTTCACCAAGTTCTTCTTGGCACTGCTGTGAAAATAATCAAAATTTACAATTGGTAACCTAATACTTAGCTGATTTCACTTAGGTGCCTTTAGGGTTATTCCAAAATTTCTGAGAATATTGTAAATGAAATAGCCCGATGCAAAATTCATACACGTAAATTACTGTCTACACTTGTATAAGCTTTGAATATTTTTCAAGCAATATTTCAGCACACTGCTTTAACAATTGTAATCCGAGTAAGCAGTATTTTAACAGTGAAAATATTTTATTTTCGTAAACGTTTCAATTAACATATAACATATAAATATAATATTGATACGGAAGTTACAATCAATTTTCAACACTGTTCGATTTAGATGTCTACGTTTAATCAGTATAGCTATAAATCCAATATAATTACCTCAGTAACAGTCCTACGTTGCAGCTAGTACGGTTCACTAAATGTCCATGTAAATGTTAGTAAGATTTAGCTATAAATCCGATACCCAAGTAACAGTGTGAGTCTCTTCCAACACGGTTCACATTAGATGTGCATGTAAACATTTAGTTACATTGAGCTTTAAATCCAACACAGATACGGAAGTAACAGTCCAAAGTAATCAGTCACTTAACAACACTGCTGAATGTAATTTTAAAAGTTTAGTTATATTTAGATAGAAATCCAATATTGATACGAAGTAGCAGTAAATTTACTTCACACTGTTCACTTGTGGTCGCTGATGCTAGAAGTTATAAAGCCATACTTGGCAATATAAAGATTAAAGGTGATATATCTCAGCAATCTCTAACGCTGGGATTACCATAACGTCTTATAATGTCTTCGGTTTTTCACTCAGAGAGCTTGTGAATATCCATACTTCCTTCTTACTTGTAATACTCTTTACTGAAACATATAAAAAGGTCAATATCAGTAATCAAGTCGTCAAAAAACACGAAATAAGAAGTATTCTAATTATGATAAAAAAAAATTGACATGAATTAGAAAACGTCGGTTTAAATTAATTTTCTTAAGCCTAAGTGAATGTCTTTCACCAGTACAGTTTAGCCCCTCACTGTCCACCAGACGATTATTCAATTATCCATAAAACAATTGAATCTTTCCAATTGAGAGGTGGACAATACTTTAGCACTATCTATCTATTACTTCAGTTATAGATCAAATTGTTTTATGTCACCAGCAGTCGATATATCAATAAACACAATTTCTTTTCTAACCAATTGAGAAATCATTCATTTCAGATATCAGTCGATGTTAGTTTATATAGTTAATTTGATCACAGAAAACTATTGAAGCTTTTTCAATCTGCTTGCTAGTTTGGCTCTATTGTACTATTGTAAACTGTTATTTGTACCAAGCACTCACAATATGCTTGCTAGTTTGACTCAGTAAACGGCTATTGTATCAAGCACTCACAATATGCTTGCTAGTTTGACTCAGTAAACTATCATTGTATCAAGCACTCACAATATGCTTGATAGTTTGACCCAGAAAACTGCTATTAGTACCAAGCACTCACAATGTTCTTGCTAGTTTGACTCAGTAAACTGTCATTGTATCAAGCACTCACAATATGCTTGTTAGATTGAATGAGTAAACTGTCATTGTATCAAGCACTCACAATATGCTAACTAGTTTGACCCAGAAAACTGCTATTTGTACCAAGCACTCACAATGTTCTTGCTAATTTGACGTTGACTTAGATTTTACCAAGTACTCACAATATGAATTCTATCTTGACTCGGTAAACTAAACTCACAATGTGTTTGTTAGTTTGACTTTAGATTTTTCCAAGTTATCGCAATCTGTTTGCTAGCTTGACAAGATAATGGCTTTTGGACGTTAGTGTCCAGTTAAGCTCTAGTGATACTGAATAAGAGCGATGTAAGGCTCTTAAAAAAATAAAAGCATACAATATGTCCATTTATCAAGTTTTACACTGTAAAACCATGGCTGAAAGAGCTTTTATGATGTGTGTTTCAAATACACAGTTCCCATGGGGCTTATGGAAATGTTTAATTTTCAATGAATGACTAATTCACAGCCAACCCGTTCATTTTGAGTAGGCGACCTACACTAATTTTCATACACAACTATTTCATGCTAAAAGCAATCATACTCTTCAAATGATGATGTGTCATTGGATCAAATTCATCCGATTAGGATCATTTATCACGATAGTAATTAAGTCTACGGGTACCTACTATTTAGTTGAACCATTGACGATTTGACAACATGGAATCAGCCAGACACTTCGATATTTATAATTTTTAATAAAAGAAGTAGAAAAAATATAAAACACAGTCATAAGTACAAAATGAAAATTCAAGCCCTGCAGTTATACACAGCTCGTTATAAGGAAGCTTTGATTGAAATGGTTCGTTAACACCTGACCGCCATTGTTGAATCATGTTTCAATAGATGCTTAGACTAATTTATTTTCTTAACAAATTCCCTAGAGCAAGTCTGCCATCATTGACATGAAAAACATGTCGTATTTACATTTGAAAAATGTATTCAGTACCATGTGTAAATACAGACTTATCGGTTTTTCATTAAGGTGGCATTGACGTGTAAATACTTGCTTTGCAGCGGGTTAGATTTTTCCCTTATCGCGTATTAATCCGAAACATATGCCTCTTGACAGGCTACCTCCACCCTACACCGCAACACCTTTCAAAATATCTATCAGAGGCTGGAATAATGCTTCGGTCAAATCACGTATCACTTTAACTTAATTCTGCAAAACATCTACATACATCAAAACATTTAGCCTTTTGTTTTTCAATCAGTGATGCCGATTGATCTTTCGACTAGTATACCCCATTGCCACTTGAAATCATATCGGCATCACTAAGGCATAATTATAATCTTAGAAAAGAAGTAACAGACGTAGATTTGCAACCACAAATTTGAGATACGTGCTATGGGATTTTGAAAGGTTCAAACTGAAACCGAATATCCTAGGGAAGCCCAGATAGCTCGGCTCTTACTTCGGTTGAAACTCTAGCACGACAAATCTGGCCCTGTTCCGTTCTTGAAGCATCTTAAGACAATAGTTTTATAATATTTTTTGTAACAGTTTTTGTAACTGACAAAGGATGATCCTATCCTTGACTATATCACATCACATATTGGGAACCAAAATGACCAACCTGTTCTCTGAGTACACATACTTTACTTAATGCCCGTTATTCCAAAACTAAGCTGCCCTGTCGAAGACTGTATATCTAGAATTGCTGTATTCGGCAGCATGGAATGATTTTTCCACTCACGTCATACCCTTGTATAGAATTTTCAGAATAACATACCGGTTTATAGCTAAACTTATGTAAAGTTCTACAATAAACTGCTTACAATTTCAAACTTTCAGATGTAAAAAAGTGTGAACATTATTTGAATGTCACTGTAACATATGACAGTCTGAGATTTATAAACAACATAACAACTAAATTATGTCTATATGTCATTGAAAAGTCATATTTCATGTCATTTTTATGAGTTAAACAACATTCCCTTCGGAAAAAAATAAAAATGAGACATGCATATTTTTATAGGGTTGTGAAGCCCCCGAGCCATATTATTCATGGCTTTATAACTGTCAAAATGATATTTCAAAGAAATTAAAGTAACAAGCGACAATTACTACGTCTGCACTGAAGCATCCAGAGGCTATAGTTTTACTAATTTTTTAAACCCCAGTAATTCTCAATTAATAACTTTTCTTGCCCCTGGATAAATAAACCATATACTAACGATCCGAACCACGAAATCTAAACAACATAGGCTACTGGCAAGACATTGGTATAGAAGTTAATGAACTTTTCACATGAAGAAATATTGCAATCATAAGTAAGAACGTTATTCATAACAAAAAGTGGTATCGGGTGTCTTAAAGAGTAAGCATACACTGCCAGGCTGCTCAACATAAAACACAACAAACACTACAAATAGGCATCTTATTTTCTATTTACGCATCAAGAAGGATTTGTTAGGTCCTTGTTCCATCAACCATAAGTAAAAATAAACGGTGTAAATCGGCATTTCGTACATAATGGATTTCTAGATTATATACAACGAAACGAAAAATATTGAATTTCGAGGAATATTCGGCGATGTCAATGTTATGGAATCATATTTCACAAAGTGAAACGAAACCTATTTCTTATTTGCAAGACAAAACCGCTCCCTGGTATTAAAGGGGCAGTTTCCAGGATTGTTTTTGGATCATGAATATATATAAAGTCTACAGAAGTATTTGAAATGTATTATCGCATAATTCCTTCAAAAATATCTCAAACTAAGATTTTCATTTTCTATTTCTAAATATTACAGAGTT